TCCAGCAACACATCGACGTTCAACGATTAGCGAGAAACAAAAAAACACACACACACAACCATAAAACAAAACTAATTAAACGAGACTCGTATAAAACCACGTGTTTATTTTCGCCCAGCATTCACGCACGATGCAATTTGTTAATATGCAATAACATTTTTCGCACGAAGCGCAAGATTTGTTGTGTGCGTTTTCGTCGAGAGCCAATACACACACAGTTTGGGAATTTGCAAGCTGTTTTTGGCGGTAAAGTATGGCAATTGTTCGTGATTCAACTATGTGAACGAGAGTTAGAGCTTTTGGATTTCGACTCGACTCGAATCCACTCGAAACATTCTTTTGTTTTGCATTCAATTTACAGCTGGAAAACAACACAAATGTTTCACACAAATATTTACATGCTCCCGACGACGCATACGTACGTACGGCAGACAATTTTGGGACAATTTTGCGTCACATTTTTTATCCACTTTTGCTGAAAATGCACGAAAATAAATTCCCAGTCGATTCAAATGGCATTGCGTTGGCATTTTCTTTTTCAAACACCAGAAACAGCTCTTTATACGTATTTGGTGCTGGAATGGTATAAAAAAATTACAGGAGAGAGAGAGAGAGAGAGAGAGAGAGAGAGAGAGAGAGAGAGAGAGATAGAAAGCGGCGAAGGGGAAAAAAATATGACAACAAAAGCCCCAGTGACTGTGATATGATTCAGTGGAAATTTATTCATGAGTTTGTTACTGTTGTTACTCTGGGGCGAACCAAAAACAGCAGTTGCAAAGAGTAAATCATAAATCGAATCAGCCGCGTACGCACACATACACCCATATCAAACGATCCATAATTCGACATGTATTGCTTAAAACTGCACAAAAACACACAAATATAAACGAATTTCACTAAACTTCATTTCATTTCGCCCGAAAATTTAATTTGTGCAATTCAGATTTCCAACAAGTGATGTAATACCGCACTATTTATGCGGCATTTTTATTCATGACGTACATTTTCTTGGTTATTTGCATCGGCCGGTTGAGAGAGAGAGAGAGACTGTGTGCAGACATACCGGTTTGGGCTAAAAACAATAACTCGTGGTAAAAACTCATGTTTGCTGCTCTGCTACTCGGTTCCGTTTCTGGTTAAATGGTAAAACGGCACAAAACACAACAATCTCATATGCATAAACAGAGGAATGAAATGTATTTGTTTCAATCCTTTGCGATGAAAAGCGCATTTTTTTCACCAGAAACAATTTCATGACACAGCATACACGTGATTACACATAAAATTACAATTTTCTCAACGAGAACTTCTCGTTGCGAATAAATGAAATTTTTGTACAATTTTCCAGTTGCTACGAGATTATTAATGTTTTGATTATTGCGTGTTTTCTTCATTTTGCTTGATTTCGTTCCATCGATATAACGCATTGCTCTTCTTTTAGTTTCCTTCATTGCTTCAATCAATTTTATCTTTGAGCTGGTTTGCAACATGCTATCTCTAATGTGTTGAAGTTTGCTCACGTATTCTCATTTATACTCCCAAAAGGGTAAGCGAACAAGTATCAAATCTAACCCATTTTTCACTTCCTTCTTTTTCCGTGGTACAAATATATAGAAAAATGAACGCTTTGTTTTTTGAACGAGATGAATGTGTCGGAAAACATTATTGCTGCCATTACATAGATGCCAATTTCATGTCATCATTCCCTCCATACTCTTTTCACTGCTGTTGAAGGAACATTCCCAGAGTGTCGAAGTTTTTCCTCTTCATCGCATTTTTGCCCTCCAGAAACTATCCGAACGAAAGCAACAAAGAAAAAAAATCCAATTCAATGAAAATGAAGACGAAGTGAGAGGTTAGCATGGCCCATACGCATAACGAATAGGTCGAGCTGACATTCCAATTGCTTTTCGTGCTGAGCGAATGCGTTGTCGGACATACACCGACCAGAGCAAGAGAGTGACAGGGAGAAAGGGAGAGAAAAAACACAAACGGTCGAAATATTCAATGAGTGAAAAGAGCAATTTTTCATTTTATATTGCAAATAAAATGAGATATATGACTAGTGATTTTTCTCTGCATGCCGTCGTCGTCGCTGTCACCACCGCCACTCCCGTATGCGGGTATGCCCCTCTCTCTCTCTCTCTCTCTCTCTCTCTCTCTCTCTCTCTCTCTCTC